TTTTTTAAATGTACATTTATTAATTTATGATTAAAAAAAGTCAAATATCTTTAGAACACGAGAAAACGTCTAAAGTGTTGCATTAGCTCAAGAAATAAATCGTACGCCAAATATTGTATATACAAAAATTTCAATAAGCTAATTTGATTAAAAAAACTTGTATTAATAGCAATTAAAATTAACATGCAAGTTAGGTATATCTGGTTTATATAAATTAATTAATATGACAGTATTTGCGTTACATAGTGATCGTGATAACCATGGAAAAACAAATTTCTATGAAATAGTCAAAATTTGTTTGATTGAACTAAAGCATATTTCAATAAATATCAAAATATTATAATATCAGGAAGATTTGGTACTATTAATTATAGTATGTGAGTATAGAAATAGTAAAAAATATAATGCACACTGTTTATCATAATAATTTCATGAAAAAACTATTCTAGCTCTTTCAGTTGTTAAAAACAATCAACATATCAGTGAGTATAAATTAGTTGTGGTTAATTCTGGACTAAAACAATAATGTATTTATAAAAAACAATACGGCGATTATATTGATATTTTATATAAATACGAAATTTAAACAGATAAGTTCAATTGAATACTATTTAATATTCATTAGTTATATAATAGTTAAAAAAAATCAAAATTATTTTTTAACTATTACAGACTAGACCTCTAAACGCCGATATAACTTTTCACATATGCTAATAGAAACATTGTCTTCTGATTGTCTATATTAATAATAAATAAAAAAAAAACAATATTCTAAAAAAATTAAATTTTTAAAATTTTCAATCAAATTGCAATAAACACTAATTAACAAATTATAGTTTTTTTTTTTTTTTTTTTTTTTTTTTTTTTTTTTTTTTTATTATGTTTGAACAGCAATCAGAACTCCTATATGTTCTATAAGCTGTTGGTTAACGACTAATACTACTTTTATTTCATGAGAGGCAATCCATCGATTAACCATTCTCTTATGTGTGGGATATTTTTGATATTAGCTCTTACGTCTAATAGTTGCATATGATTGGATGTTGCAGCTATGTCCACGAAGGACGATTTCCACTTGGAATTATATTATGATCTATAATCTCAAGTGGAAATTTGACATCAAAGCTGCCTGATGTCGGGCTACGGCGGTTAGCGGGAATCGATCCAGCGAGCCTGGAACTAGTGGCTGCTAGTCCACGCTCTAACCGATATCGCCGCCGGCCCAATTTATTATTATATGATAGTTCAAAGAAATACAAAATTTTCAAAAAAAACTTTTAAAATCAATATTAAAAAATAAATATTTTTTTCAAATTTTCAATCAAATTCAATTAAATACTAATTGATAGTTATTAGTTGTTTGATTCAAAAAAAAAAAACAAAATAATTTAAAATTTTCCATAAATTAAAAAAACATCGAAATGATCAAAAAATTTTTTTTCTCAAAATTTTCAATAGAATTTAAAGCTTTTAACAAATTTAAATTGCAACACGTTCGAATAAAATTACAACCTAACAAAAATATAATGTTATTTCCATTACAACTTACTTTTAAAAACGCTTATTCATTAATGCATGTGTACATGTATCAAATTATAATAAAACGTACCATTCCATTTCAAGAGTCGCTCGTAAGTCGTAATTCGTACTCATCATATTGCGACGAACACGGATCAGCTGTAATAGTAAACGACTTCTGCGCGACGTTATATACGTTACACCGCATCGCATCGCATCGCACCGCGCCAAGTTGACGTAAACTGTAGCGCCACATCGGGTATTATGTCCATGGCGAGGTAAGGGACAGAGGCGGCGACGGATGAGGACGGATGACGCGGACGATACCAGACGCAAAGTCTTTTAAAATGTCAACTCGCCTTCCGAACGGCTCTCTCAATCGATTTCCGGGCAGGGGCGTCCCCGGGCGGTGGGGATGGAAGCCGACGGCTTCGTGCGTTCGGCCGACACTGCCGAAAGCCGATCGTTCGCTCGCTAGAGGGGAGATGGGAAACCGTCTGGCGCGTCTGAGCAGTGGAACGCCATCGAGAGTCAGTCGAGGCGAAGTCGCCGACCAGAGCGGTAATATTCAATTTTCAATAAGATACATATATATACATAGTTATATATATACACACAGCCAAACAGTGTTCACAAATTTTGAGATAGAGACACAAATGACTCGAAGTAGTTTAGTGTATAATAGTTTAGTAAACGTACTGAATCGTTGAGACTGGTGATTATAGTGGTTTATGATTAAAATTTAAAACATTTGTATATGTATACTTTCATATCAAGAGTGCTTCTATCGCTCGTGTTATTTTTGTACTAGGCATATATTTTAAGTGTTTATTGTGCATTGAAGTGTATCGGATTTTGGATGGATATTGGATTTTATCAGTGTTAACCAAGGATTATTTTTTCAAAGTGTTCTACGAGATGGCGATGACGGCTTGTTATTCCAATTACGCCGATTTGGCACCGACGCATGTTCAACAGCAGCATCCGCAACAGCAGCAACAATGCTTTGCTACCAATGCTGCCACGACGGTTTTGCAGCAGCAGCAACAACAGATGCAACAGCATCCCCAACAACAAACTAGGATACAACCCGTGCAACAAAAGGATTACAGTATACCGTTGCACGTCGATTGTAGTGTAGAATATGAACTTCCGAATCAGGCCAAACCGCCGGCCGGTTCGCGTGTCGAGCCGCTGCTCATGATACATCCATGCTACTTCCGCAAAATGGAAAGTCAAAGGCGTAGTCCTTTCATCAATAATATGCCGCCGGTTACGAATAGTAGTCGTTCGTCGAGTAGTTCAAACGCCGCTGCGGCCGCGGCTTCGAGCAGGAGACGAGCTGCGGCAGTTCAGCAACAGCAATTGGTTGCGCAACAACAGCAGCAGCAACAACAGCAATTGTCGCACCAACAACAATTGTCACAACAGCTGTCGCAGCAACAACAACAGCTCGCTCAGCAGCAGCAGCACCATATGTACACGCAACAGCAACAGCAGCAACACCAAGCATCTTGGGAACAACAGCAACACGTGGTTCCCGCTATGCCCGCGCTCGTGCCGATCGCGGCGGGCGCACAAGCCATGTCGATGTACAGCAAACCCGTAGGAAAACGTGATCTTATGCTGTCCGGCGGCTTGAGTTATACGACGGATACATCGGCTGTTGCGACGGCGTCTAGTATACCCGGAGTGCATTGGGATGCGGAGAGGAGTCCTTTGGCTGCGATACCGCGGGACTATCAGCAGTCCGGTCCCGAGCACGCGGCCACGGTTCATCATCAGCATCAGCACCATCATCATCATCATCATCACCCGCAGCATCATCCCGAAAAACATCAACAACAGCAGCAGCAGCAGCAACAACATCAGCAGCAACAGCAACAACAGCTGCAGCAGCAGCAGCAACAGCAACACCAGAATACGATACTGTCGGGCAAATATCGGCAATATCTGCGAGCGCATCGCCTACATCCGTACCTGGAGCGCGCGGCCGCATTTCAACCACCGCCTGCACTGCAGCAGGTCTCATGTTACAACGTGTGATGAACGAACGTGTCTTACTACAGGAAGCGCGACGGGGTTGTATTGATCCCGCCCCGTCTGCATTTATATGTGATAGTAGAGTTATAATATAACGAGATCCCCTCAAATACAAAAAATATTAAAGAAAAAGCTAATACAAGATAATAAAAACAAAACAAATTCGAATCGCGAATATTAATGTGTTGGTGTGCGTGCGTGCTTTTGTCGATGTGCTGAAAAAATGAAAAAAATCTTGGAGTGACAATATGATGAAAATGTGGAAGCCGATGGAATTATTCCCGTGTGAGACGATCAAGTGTTTAATTTGTTGTTAAAAAGTGGTGGCGAAAACGTTGTTTATCCGAGGACCCAGACCAAAGATTCAACCAAGATCGGGTCTGTCTGTTAATAACGCTTGTGGTGTGAAGATTCCAGCCCAAATTTAAGGAAAACTAAAGTGATGCGCCGCCGAACGCGATCGGATATATATTGTGTATAAATGTATATAGATATATAAACTAATAAGCTACGCTATATATGTACAGACTAGTCATAGAAAAAATACGCTTAATGAATTTGATGATGAAATAAACACGTTATTGTTTTTATAGAAAATTAACGTTGATTTTTCTTGCGAAATCGCGCAACATTCCCCTCCGATCCGTAATTTTCTCTTTCAGATATGCTTGCTTTACATTTATTTTTATTGAAATGTAAAAATGAACAAACTATACTCAGTTTTTTGTACATGGTAAATTTTTTGAAATTACAGACAGTAATCTCGCTTAAAAATTTTCTATTTGAACTAGCAAAAATCATGTCATAATTATGTTTTTATTTTATACTGGAAAATTTTTGTTGTGAAGCTAATAAGTGTTTTACGATTTTACAATACTTATTAAATGCGCCAACTTTTGACGGAACTTGCTATAACAAACTTTAATAATTTAAAAAAAAAATCGCGCAACAAATTTCACATTTTTCAAACTTGAGGTAACAGTGTAATTATTTTTGACTGTGGTCTTAGAAATTTTATTTCCGATTACTGATCCAAAGTTTAAATTAACAAAGTTTGAAAAAAAATATCCGAATTAACCGAAAAATAGTCAAAATTTCACTAAAGCTCTAGGTTGCACTTGAAAGCTCATAATTTTCAATCAACGCTAATAATTTTTTTTATAATTTTTTTCACGACAGTTGCGCTCAATATTATCAGACGTTGAGTTCTGGGACACCCTGTATATTAACACATTAAAAAATATACAAGGTGTCCCAGAATTCAACGGGGTGATAGTATTGACCGTAACTGTCCTGAAAAAAATTATATCGCGTTGTTTGAAAATTATGAGCTTTTAAAGTGCAACCAAGAGCTTTAGTGTAATAATTGTGTTTAGTATGTCGGAGCAGTCTGTAATTTTATGAAATTAAATTTGCGCAAAAATCTGAGTGCAGTGTGTTCACCCTAATATTCGTTTCAATCTTGATACAAATTTCTTGGATTTATTTCTATGTTAATATTTTTCTGTTGATCTATTTTTGTAACGTGTGTGTGTTTCAACTTGTGTTCGTCCATTATTGTCTTCGTAACAGTTTCGATCAGCCAAGCGATGAGTTTTGCCGACGGCAAAGTGTTATTTTAGCATTTCATTGTAAATTACAGTTGTGACGCATGCAATCCAAGAGCTATCTATATGTTGCCAAAGAAATCAGATGGTCTATAAATCGACCTGGAATCCAATGTGCCTGTCGGGTGAATTTCCATAAATTATTGTGTTCAATGGGCGTATTCGTTAAATCGACCGTTCTCTCTCTCGAATAAATATCAAATATGCTAATTTTTCAATAGCTATCAGCTCAATAATTTATTTCAATCTTTAAATCCATTACAATTGTGATCTGAGTTATCGAAGACGCTCTATTGAAAAAAAAATATAAACCTATGTAAAAATTTTGGGTTTGCTGCTCATGATTGTAATTTGCGTTTTTGTTTAAGGGGTGTTCTGGTCTAGAGAATACTGTTAATTTTTTGAGATTTTAGAAAAAAAGTTATAATACTATATGGTGAGATTTTTAGAAAATTTGCTAACCAATACCCATAACTTCAGCCTTCCGACTAATCTGATCAGATTCTAATTTCAATCCAGTGAATTTTAATAAAAAGCCACAGCAAAGCGTGGCCGGGCCTGCTAGTATATATATACACATATCTACTAGCAAATATTAATTAAAATTAATCACATTATATATTAATAAAAAATAATCATAATAACCGAAAAATGGTCAAAATTTCACAAAAGCTCTAAGTTGCACTTGAAAGCTCATAATTTTAAAACAAAACCAATATTTTTTTTTTTTAATTTTTTCGGAACAGTTACGATCAATATTATCAGACGTTGAGTTCTGGGACACTTTATAAAATATACATTAACACTTTATAAAGTATGCAGGGTGTCCCAGAACTCAACGTCAAGCCGTTATTGAAAAATTTAAAACGAAGCCAATATTTTTTTAATTTTTTTTCGGGACAGTTACGATCAATATTATCAGTCGTTGAGTTCTGGGACACCCTGTACATTTTAAAATGTGTTAATAAAATATACAAGGTGTCCCAGAATTCAACGTCAAGCCGTTATTAAAATTTTTAACAAATATTAATAAATTTTAAAACAAAGCCAATATTTTTTAAATTTTTTTCGGGACAGTTACGATCAATATTAATCAGGCGTTGAGTTCTGGGACACTCTGTATATTTTATATTGTGTTAATAAAATATACAGTGTCCCAGAACTCAACGTCAAGCCGTTATTAAAATTTTTAACATATATTAATAAATTTTAAAACAAAGCCAATATTTTTTTACATTTTTTTTCGGAACAATTACGATCATTATTATCAGTCGTTGAGTTCTGGGACACCCTGTATATTTTAAAATGTGTTAATAAAATATACAAGGTGTCCCAGAACTCAACGTCAAGCCATTATTAATATTTTTAACATAATTGTAGGGTTTAGAAATCGCGTCACATCAATATGAAATTGTAAAAATTTATTTGAAATCCATACGTTTCGGCTAACATCCTGGCCATCAGGAATATACTGTCAACTGCAATAATTAAATTGAGTAAATAATATGCAACAAAATAATAATAATAATGATAGACAAATCTATAGAAAACACTTACAATTTGGTATCTATATTACATACAAAATTGCAAGTGTTACATATTATTTACTTAATTTAAATATTATCGTTGACAGTATATTTCACTATATAAAGGCTAAGATGTTAGCCGAAACGTATGAATTTCATAATAAATTTTAAAAAACATTTGTACAATTTTTTTATTGATGTATTGCCCGATCTCTAAACCCAACTAATATGTGTGTTAAAAAGTTGAGTTCTGGGACACTCTGTATATTTTACAACGTGTTAATATACAGGGTATCCCAGACCTCAACGTCTGATAATATTGATCGTAACTGTCCCGAAAAAAAAATAATGGCTTTGTTTTAAAATTATGAGCTTTTAAGTGCAACCTAGAGCTTTAGTGAAATTGTGACCATTTTTCGGTTTGTAAATTTGTAAAAAACATACAATTTTTTATTGATGCAAAGCCAGATCTTTAAACCTAACTAATTAATATTTAAAAACATATTCGAATTATTTGGAAGGCTGAATTCATGGGTATGGGCCTGGGTAGTTTTTTTTACAACTTTTTTTTGATATTCTTGATCTAAAAAAATGGTTAAAATCGGAATTTTAGGTTGAGAATAGTTCGTACTGAATAATGGTGTCAATAAAAAAGGTTTTGTAAAATTTTTATTTAAATCGGTGTAGTAAAAGTTGGGAAATCGTGGGTATCGCTTGAAGAAAAACAATGAAGATTATTGTGTATTTAAATTTTGTGTTTTTTTTTACATTTGCGGTTTTTGTACAAATTCTAGACCAGAATACCCCTATATATACTTTAATCAAATATTGTAATTATTCATAACCTAGCAATCTAATGTGATTAGAAATCTTCTTAATTAATTTGATCAAGTTTGATGATCGCTACATCAAATATGAATTTTGCTGTGAAAAACCCAATAATCGTTAAATATATATATAACTGATATTAAAATATATAATGCACTTTAATCGTTTTAAACGTGAATATGATATTCGAATCTCTAAATATTTCTGAAATACAAAATGTATACCTATCATAAAAAATTTACCTTCACCGACGTTGCCGCACAGGTACATATGTGCATATAACTCGTTTTCGATTATGGTAATGGCGAAACGAAACTGCATCGAACATATTAAAAAAAAATGCTTTATGAAAAAAAATTCTTTGTATATAGTATAGCATAAACATATTTTGAATAGGATTATTATCAGTACTCATTCCATGCGCTAAAATTATGAAAAAAACAAGTGACAAAGTTTATGATAGAATAGAAGAATTTATTATAATCGCTGTATTGTATTATAGCATGGGACAGCGCGATCCTTTTGTTAAATGTTGAGTAGTTCTTACGATGTTTAAAATGAACCAACATGATAAAATATTCATTAAAATTCTGTATATGTTAATTTCGTATAACATTCAGTGTAATATTTCATATCATATTTTTAATACAAGCAAATGTGATGCAGACAAAAAGTCTTTGTATTTGTGTGTTAACCTATGTATCCTTTGAAAATTTTCAAATTTTTTAGGCAAGGAATCCGAACGTTGTTGGATACAACTTGATTAAATTTTATAAATTTTAAATAAAGTGGTGATCTAGGAAAAATTTCAGTGAAATGAACTACTAAATCCCAAATTAATAAGTTAATCGTTGAGAAACGCGGTGTGAGGTTGTACACAAAAATAAAATAAAAGTGAAATAAACAAAATTATTACCGTGACTCAATAGGTAATTATAATATCTTTTTAAATTTTCGATTTCTCTAAATTATTACTCACTTATTTAAGCCGGAATACAAATTGCGGAATTTGACTTAAAAAAAGAATAGTTAAAATCGAAATTTTAGGTTGAGACTAGTTCATACTGAAGAAGTATATAAAAAAGGTTTAGTAAAAGTTTTATTTAAATCGGTTTAGTAAAAGATGGGAAATCGTGGGTATCCTAGTTTTGTAGATTATCGTGATGTAAAGCTGTATAATTTAAATATTGTATTCTATTCTTCAATAGCTAAACGTAGAAAAAATGCGATTTTTACAAATTCTAGGCAAGAATACTTCTATATACGAGTATATACTTGACTTGTAATTATTCATAACCTACCAGTTACTTTTTTAATAGAATTGTTCACGCAAGAAACACTAATTTGAGCCAGAATACAAATTGCGGAATTTTGCTTATCGTTTTACCGGTGAAATCGTACATTTTAATAAACTGAAAGTTTTTTATGCGATAAAGTACAATTTAATTTAAAACAAAAACCTGCTTCCGAAGTGCTTGCTATATTTTTGTAGTCATAAAACCATTTATTTTGCACATGTAACTCGAATGAGTCGTTTGATTCGAATCATTTATTATATTAGAAATAAATAAGTTTATTCCTTGTTAAATTCAAATTTTCTACATTTTATCTTTTTTTTCAATTTTATTAATAAATTTCGAATAAAACTGACATTTTTCTTACTGTGATTGAC